TCTTAGTACTGTCTGAAGCCCTGCATAGAGTTGGATGCCATGTTGCAAGCAGAGGCTGTTGCTTGGTATCCAAAGGCTTTCATAACTAAAGCCACAAGATTGTCACATTCAGCCTATGTTCTTCTATCAGCTTTCCCTTTTCTTCATTGCTACACAGCAAAGCTAAGCTGCTCTGAAGGAAAGACACCACCATTTGAAAGCCTCTTTCACAAGGTGCCTGCTAAGCCTGGGTCAACCCCCAGGATTAGCTTGTTGGCCAGGGAATTTTTATTTGTACAAATAAATGTTACGTTGATTAAATTTGTGATTGTAAAAATGAATGCTGTAAGCAGCAATCTGTTGGAGTCTTCTCCAACAGTGGCAAGAAATTTACTGTTGCAGGGTCTTTCTCTTGCTGCATTTCTGGGTAGCAGGTGCTCATCCTCAAGTATTTGGAGATTTCACTGTGGATATTTGTGTGCCTGGCTGCTCAAGCTTTGATTTTTGTAGAAGTGTGACCTGTATATCGTAGATCCATAGTTCACAACCTGTTCTCTCTTGCTCAAGACTCCAGCATATATGAAGTGAATAGCTGAATGGAAACCCAAGTGTGAAGTGCTTCAGTTACTGTTTCTGTGAGACCAAGGAATTGCAAGGCATATTTATGCTTTACAGGTTCTGCTTGACAACAGAATTACAAATACCAAATGTATGTGCACCTATAGTGGAACGTTTTATGAGAAAACATCTTAAAAGAAATTCTGTCTCTTATACCCATCAATTCCTAAGTCTTCCCTTGGATTTCCTGTGCATACAATAAGTATTTTTTAAAAAGTATTAGCTTTGTGCTTGACTCTTTCGTAGTATCTATCTTAAAAATAATATTAGTAGCCCTTGCTGACAGCAAAATATCCTTCTTATTTGTGAATTGGAATTATAAACCAAGGGCTCCTCATGATATGGTTCTTTTAGGGCCCTGTAAGTATGCGTGTTGCCTAACTGGAAGGGCAGAAGAAACTTCTTATCAGACGTTTCAAAATTTCCAGTCATGCTGCTCTAGATATTGGGATAAAACAGACTGTTAAGTATTTGTATGTTCTGAGACTTTTTTCCCCATTTACTGTTGCGTCTGTACAACTTCATACATATGTTTCCGTAAGGTATTTTGTTGTTATTTGGAGAAAGAAGTATGGCAACGAAAATAGTATTTGCAATCGATAAAACTAAAAATGCTTTTATTTGTTTTTCAGAGATATAATAAAGCGAATAGATCAGTCTGAATTTGAAGGATTTGAATATATTAATCCATTGTTGCTGTCAACAGAAGAAACAGTATGAAGGAACGACATCTTCCTTGTGGACAATGTGAATGACCTTTAAATTTATCCTTAACTACAGTATATGCATGCGAGGCTGGGGAACTGTTAAGATTTTGGATGGAGACCAATGATTAAAAAAAAAAAAAATTGCTGCTGAAAATCAAAGAAGAGAATAATGATTTTGGTGGGTGTCTTCTGCCACTTAGTGATTCTTAAGTTCTGGGCACTGACACAACTGGCTTCATTAATGAAGGAATTTGCATTTTGTGCCTGTTTCATGAAGGATTGAAATGTTCATTGCATCCCTGGAAAAGGAGATTCTGAACAACTTTGAGATCTACACACTTTCTACAAACATTTGATGCAATGAGCTACCAATTGAAGAATATTACAGTGTAACATCCTGAAGAATAAAATATATTATGGTGGTGTTGAAGCTTATTTTTGATGCCTTTTTTCACAAGTGGTACCTGTCTAAACGTCTCAGATATATTTAAAAGGAGTTGTGTTTTATTAGCAATCAAAACATAAATTTGGGTACAAGATTTAAGTGCCTAAATGGATAAACTACATTGAAGAATTATTCATATTTGGAACGTTCTTAAACCTGGTAAGTTCTGCTTGTTAATACTCAGTAACCATTTACATGTGAAACAGTTCACAGCTGCAGCCTACTGTCCGTTTGCAGAGAATTTGAAATGCAGAGTGACTCAGCAATATTAATTCCAAATTTGAATTTACAATATCAATTTCAAAATGTTGTTTTAAACTCCAAATTTACCAAAATGCATAGATTGAAGAAAACTAAATTTGCACACAAAAGATTTCTGAAAACATTTAAGCAGTGCCTACACCTACAGTGATGTTGTGTTATATATTAGATTTTTGAGAAGTATTTTTATCAACAATACAAATATTCAGAAATAGAGCAAAAGCGTAATAAAGCATAGCCTTAAAGTTTAAATAGTAAATCTAGAATAACCGTGATATAAAACACTTTCCTGATAAAGCACACCTCCTACTTATGATAAACTGTCTGCTTACAATTACTCAGTGTATATTAATAACTAATCATTCTACATAAGAGAATGGGATGTTTTGGTAAAATGATTTGCATCAAAGTAGTAAATTTTTTTAATGGATGAAAAAAGAATACCTAAGAGATGGGGTAAAGCAAAAGGTAACGATCAACTCCCTTCTGGTGGGAAGGGCAGGGGGGCAGGGGAAGGATCTGTCACATCAGAGGTTGACAATTTGCCAGCTCGGAAAAGCTCGTGTCGCTAGGTTTGAGGATGAGTGAGTGTGCATTGCTCTCGGAAACCAGAGCTGCTCGTCAGGAGTCACCTGCCTCTGTAAGGACCAGCGCAGAGGCAGTTGTTTCTTTTTGCTAGATTTTGGTTGAACTATATTGTGTGGGTTGTAGAGATAAGGAAAAAAATTAAGAGGAAAAGTAAAAAAAAAAAAAAAAAAAAAAAAAAGGAGAAACCCTGTGCCATGACATCTCACCTGATTTGGTGTAAAATGCAGGATAAATTGCAACGCTTTCACTTTCTTTACATTAACATATGGTTTTCTCAGGGTACAGAATTGCATTAGGTGCTGAACATGACATCTTTCGGATTCACATCCAAGTCATGAGGTGCTAGGACGAGACTGCCAAAACATTGTTTAAAATCTTCACTTAATCATTGATTAACAATCTACATTTTGTATCCCCTCATTAGCCACAATTATGCAGACCTGTGGTAATTTAGTTCTATTAATCCCATTGAGATTTCAGTTGTGGGTTTCTCTCTGTTGGACTGTAGCTTTTCATATTAAGCAAAATGTTTTAATCAGCACTAAATAATTTAACCAGTAAGAAGTACTTGCCTCAAATGCCTGGACTTTAGATACTTTATTAAGAAACATTTACCTTTTAAATGTAACCTGACATTTTTTAATTACTCCTTTTTTCCCTTCTCCCTGGCAATTACTTTATTTACCCTGAATATTTTTTTTTTCAGTGTTTTCAACTCCCCTGGTAATAAAACTAATAAATAGTTATCAGAGTGACTGCAGGCAGCTCATGAATGGAAATACGACAGATTAAGCTGTCCTTTGGCATGCCAGGGCATAGGACTTTAAAATGGAAATATTAGAAATGTGGGTTGGGGGTTTTTTTTAACCTTTTTTCTAGGTTTCAGAACATTTTGGGAGGGAGGGAGGGAAGGAAGAACAGAAAGACACATTTGCTAAACAAACATTGTAAAGACTACTTGATTTTATTTAAAAATTTACAGGCATTTACAATGTTGCTGTGTTGCCAAATAGTTTGCTGGATACGAGTTTGGTTGCTCATGTGCAAGTGTTTGAATAATGTTCTGTTCATGATGAAGGGGAAATTTTTTATATAAAGTACTTGTTTTATAAATAAAAGAAAATGAAGGATGTAATTAAATGTGTGGTTTGGAAAAAAATCCTAATATATTACAAATGGATCTGGTAATGATATATAGTTGTCTTATTTGAAATAGTAAATAAAAATTCTAGCTAATTTAATGATTGTAAAACAGTAAATATGTTCTTGTAGTTTTGTATAATTAATTAGTTGGGATCTTTGCTGACCAGTTTTAATTGTGCAGAAGATGGTATACTAATCCATAACAGCTAAGATCATTTATATTCTTGCACATCTATTAAAGACTTTAATGAAAAAGTTAACAGACTGTTATTATTTATCAGTAAACTGAGCTATGTCCAACTTGCAGTTTTTAGAGACCCCATTGTAAATTAAATGTATAGGATTCTTCCTGTATTTTGATACTGTATTCTATGTTCTGTATCTTCGGATTGCACCTGAACTGTATGTTTTGGAGGTCCAGGGCAGAGGTTTGCTAGGATAGAAAAACATTCAGATACTGAAGTTTGTTAATCCAAGTTGCACTTTTCTTCACTGTACGTGAAGGCGGTTGTGATCAAAATAGCTGGAACTGGAACTGTAAGGCTGTGACTGGATGCACCCTGCGCTGCGTGAATGGGCTGCCCTCTTCAGTAAACAATTAACTGGACTTGGGGGGAAATGAACAACCTACTTCAGCCTATTTCATCCCTTCTGTTTGTCGTTACTAAACTAGCACTAAATGTCTTGCCATTCATGGAAAAAGTTGCTTTTCTTGAGCTTACAAAATGTTTACCTGCTACTATCAAGAAGTTACCAAAATAGTAGTTGGGTCTTCTGAATACCTTCCAGCCACAAATGCTCAAGTGTTCTTTATTCTCAAACATTGATGGTTTTTAAGGGGGAAGCTTGGAGCTGATAAAAAACAGCAGCTAGTTTTGGATGACTGACTCTCTCAAATCTTGTGACACTGGCAGGGGAAATGTTCTTTCTGGAGCCTAGTTAGTTGAGACTAGTCATGTTCATCGAGTGGATACTGACTTAGAAACCTACAAAGTAAGGTTATGAATTCAGCTGTCTTTCTTCAGAAAGATAAAAAAACCAAGCACACCCTTTATTTGGGCTGAGTTTTGGTTTCTTTTAACATAGATATGCTCACAGAATCAACTGTACAATGATCTGAGTTCTTACTTAGATATTAAACCCATCAAAAATGCTAAACTTGAATGACTTTAAGCTTATTTGCAGAGATAAACTGGATGAAAATGAGGTCAGTAAACTTTGGGGTTAAATAATAGTTATCGTAGAGATTCAGAACAACTGTGAGGCATCACACAAAACAGGTTCTTCAGGGATTTACAATAGTGCATACTTTCAGAAGTACCCAGATTCTAGGAGTGCCAAGACTGGTTTCTCTGGGGGTCTCTGGGACATCCTGTAGTACCATTTTCAGAACCAGAACAACTTTACATGCATTTGAGAGGATTTAAAAATAACAAGACCCCAACTGCGCAGGTGGCACTTGACCTTCTGCTGAGTTACTGGTTTGTGATCCTTAAGCAGCTTCGAGACAAGGACGTGCTTCCTTGACATGTTTTCCTTTTCCTTTGAGAAAGGTTCGTCCTTGGCCTTGTTCTTCTGGATTTACCACATTACATCATCTGCGCTTTCAGACAAGCACCTAGCGAGATGGCCATCGATATCCAGTTGTGAGAGTCTGCCAATACAGAGCATTTTTTCAGTGAGAAACAAAGTCAAATCCTTTTATTTACATTATTCTTTACCTTCACTCTCTCATTTCCTAAGCAATGGCAGGATTGTTCTAGTAGCTTAATGGGCAAGTCATTCCTGTGCTCCGAAGCATTGCAGTCTGCCACAAACTCTTGTAGTTGCTATTACCTGCTGCTAGATAGCTTGATAATGTCATTTACTAGAAGACAACGCTTGTGCTCCGTATGCTGAGAAGTAATGGTATCCTTGGAAACATCAGGCTGTCGATACAGGATAGAGAACTATTACCTTGCCCCACACCCAACCCCAACTTGAGACTACAGGAAATGAGATATTTCTGATAGAGGAAGGATGCTTTCTCGTGTCTGCTCTCAGTTTCCTCTTTCAGAGGGCTATTTTTGTGACTGTGATGTGACCCTCCCCACTGCCCACGTTTTGTAAAGCGGCCTCTAAAAATTGAAACTAATCTTCATCGGCACAGATTTTCCAGCAGTACAGAACTGAAGACCTGAAGTACGTTCAGCCTGTCTAAATCTCCTGATAGAACCACCATGATTTTGTAAATATTAACGAAGCCACCTTTTTGTCTCCTTGTTCAGCCTCCAAGCAAAAGAAAACAAAGTTGCAGCCAATAAATCTTGCAGTTAGAGGAGCTGTTCAAAGCCACATTTTCAGCAACTATGGCAACCTAAACACTATTAAGTGGTGTAATTTCAAGAGAGAACATAATTCTTACTGTTGAGCAGATATTAGATTGCTGGGAGGGAGGATTTTTTTTTTTTTTTTTTTATAAAGGTAGCCTGACAGCACCGGAGGACTGAAGTCTCATTAAGTTGTACTAATCAGGGGTTGTATAAAGAAAATCGGCTTCCTTCCATTTTGCTCAGACCTTGAAAGCTAGCTCTAAAATTAAGAGCACAGTTGCTCAGCCAAAGGTATCCAGGTACTTACTGAACAGGAACCAATATAGCTGTAATGGTAAAGTCTAGACCTTGAAGAGAAAGTGACAGGTACGAGATTAATCCCTCCAGCTCTAAAGTTAGCTTTTAACTATCAAGAACGCTGCACTGGAATAGTTTTTGGATTATGACACAAAAAAGTCTTTTCATATGCAAGTATTTAAAAGTATTTAAAAATTCTCATGCTCAAAGTGAGCTTGCTTTCTGCAGCACTATTATCTGATAATCATGAACTTCTAAACTGAATTAGAAGGAGGCAATTCTGACATTTAAAAAGTACTTTACAGCAGTTTCGCCCACTTTCATTATTTTGTACCTAGGGAATGCAGACTGTGAAGCTATTAAACAAAAAAGACTTACGTTCCACTAAAACGAATCAGGCACATTGGACAACTGTCAAGAGTTGAGGGTCCTTCGCTCTGATCCTCAGTCGTCTTGCAGCTTTCAGTTCCAGGTACGCTCACAAGAGGCGGCTTCTCTTCTGCAGGCGCGTATCTGGCCTCACCAAACGAAACGTTACCTTGATGTGTTTGTATTTGAAGCTCTTGGCTATCATTTTCTTTTCTGTTTTCCCTGCTGTTCTGTACAGGCCCTCTGCAGTAGTCTTGAAAGCTAAAAGCTTTTGCAGCGCTCTGCGACAACGCCAAGTGGTGTGTAGAACTTCGGTGCTGAGGGAGTTTACAGGATTTAGGACTTGCATCCAGTTTTGAAATACCTTTTGTGTCTTCCCCACCCATGTTTTTGGCTTGATCTGTAATAGTTAGGCAGCATGTTTTCTCAGCTGTAGAAGGTAAACTTTTCAGTTTATCCGCTTGGCCCCGTCCTTTATGTAAACAGTCAATTTGGCTCTGTGCTGGCTGATGGGAGCTAAGATCCTTTGGCTTTAGACATTTTTCTTTGCAAAAAGATGGAAATGACACCCACTGAAAGTCTTTCATTCCAACTGTAAAGACTTCTTGTTTTCGTAGGCTCTCTTCCTCGGAACTCTATGACACACATACACAATGTGTTCAAACAAATACCATTCACTCAATACATAAACCCAAGGCTGAACATATTATAAATACTGGGAGGGCTAAACTACACTGAAGAAAAGAACATTTTATTTACATCCTTTTCCAGTGCTTGTAAAGCAATCAAGAACTTCCTGGAGTTTATGCAATATGTGTCTTCACTTAACATTTCTAAATTGATACAATAGGGTACTCTTAATACATCCCATAAAGACTAAGGATGAAAAAAACCAACCTACTGCTGTTCGGGGAAAAAAATTCTACTTTAGGACTGTGGGGTTTGTGTTATGATACTGCCTAACAGTACTGGAGCAATGAGATGGTTGTGAGCATGTGATTAACCTCCTGATACAGTTTGCCTTTTCCAGTTTCATTCCGCTAGGGAGATGCTAGTGCTTAGGAGCAGTCAGTGCGTGTACACAGGTTACCTCTTTTCAGCAAGATGTTCAAAAAATCTGCCATACTCCAAAAAAAGCCCCTAGTAAGTTCTCCTTACGCTACCTGCAACACCATGCTAAGCCACACCACTACAGGTAGAGACTCAAGAGCTGACAACCTACATCTATTTAACAGCTATTTCAGATTGTTTCCCCTGTTAACGTCATCATTCAGACCATCACTATCGTACGCAGTACACAAAGTGCAAACAAGGATACAGTACACTACCTTTCCAAAGCACTCGGGAAAACTGGGCACTGTTTGCCCATTTGTGCATTGTAAATCTTGACTGATGTCTTTCAGTAACAAAATCCATGTTTTTTCACACTCATTTAAGCCTTCTTTTTCAAACCAGGAACATCTGCCAGCCAACGGCCTGTAAAGAGAGACAGTCCAATTGTTTGAGGGTGGGAGAGAGGGAAGAAAAGACTCTGCATTGCTATTAGTTTGCCTCTTAATTAACCTCCTTTACCCCTCTTGTAACGCTGATGATTCCAAAAATGTAGCTATCATTAACTGTGATTTATTAAAGCAGAAGTTTTAAAATTAAAAACTTCCAGCAGCTGACAGTGCATCAACCTCTTTCAGCTGAATCCAGTGGCTAACCGTGGTCGTCCCTTTTGCTAACGGCTAAGCACAAGGTAGGGATTTATGATTGAAAATGCATGTAACTTTTCCATTTGTACAACATAAAGCTCCCTTTTTACCTATTTTCTCTTGATCGAGCAGCACTGTGTGTGCTAAACCAAGAACGCTACTTGACAACTTTGCCACATCAAACCACAGAGAGGAACACAAAAAGTATTGTTAGTAGGCACAGATACGCAAATGCAGATTTTTGAGTTTGGGAGGCAAGATGGCCTGTGGAGGAAAAAAGATGTAGCTGTTTATAACACTATTTGTTTACAAAGGGAACCATCATCTAGCTTACAGCGAGATTATTCTAGAACACAGAGTCTATTTAGCCTGTGAACTAATTTTTACAGTCTACCGTGACTTACGTAACTTGTATGGCTATCAAAAAAATTATCCAATTTATTAAAAGAATGTCTAAAAGCTATGCTTTCTACTTTTAACAAATGAGATGTAGGTATTTATTACTGCCTTTACGTCTAAGTGCAACAGTTAAGTGTAGCCACTGTTTTTTCTTCTCAGATACCAAACTTGCCACCTGCTGAGCACAGAAATCATTGAAGTGTTTGGCGATTGCACCGGTTCCCATATATGCTTGGCCATTCCCATACTGCCTTTTGAAATTACCGACTATCCTTCTGAACAACTTGATCTAATCTATCCCAGGAAGGCATTAGGGAAGGTCAAACTATAAAGTTCTAAGAGGTTTTTATACTAGTAATGCTGTATAAAGACAATTTCAAGAAAACGATAGATTGTTAATGTCAGAATACTATTTCCAGTCTTCCTACTCCTTACTGATGCGTTTTCTTGGGTCACTGTCCAGGAATGATGCTGCACTGAGAAGACACCAGACACAAGTCTTACAAGCCCTCAAAAAGCAGCGGGATCGGCCTTTCGAAGCCTGTTTTTGGAAGGGGTGCAGCTGACGGCGTGCTTGCTCATCCTAACGGGCTGCAACAAGACCTGAACCACTCGCTGCCTCTTCACCCCATCCTTCTTCAACCCACCCTTGCTCGAGGGCTGGAAAAAACAGGAATTACTTCCGGTCTCCTGCCAGCCTTATTCTGAAGAAAGAAAACTTAATTTTCATACGTTAACATTTCTCATGGGCCCTGTCCTGGCCGGTTGCTATTCTGTGCCAAAGAACGTGCAGAAGGCACAGGGCCCGGTGCACTCTATTTTGCTGTTGGCTTCTGAATTTTTTAAAGGTACTACCGGCGGTGTTTTATGAAGCAGCCTTTAACACGCTCCGCAGCGTGCTAGAAGGCGCGAATACGGAACGCTCCAGGCCCCAGGTGTGTCTGAGGACCCAGCCGCACCTTTCCGGCGGGGGGCCGG